AAAATAAGATTGCTACTCGAAAAATATGAATGCTTTGTATTCTGCCAGAGATACTACGCCAAGCCGTGCTGAAGTTGATAAACAGATCATTAAGTTGCGCGAGGAAATAAAAACAGCAAAACAGTATTTAAACACGAAGGTTCAAAACGCAGTTGCCCAGAAGAAACACAGGGATAGTATGAAAAGAAAGTTAGAAGATATTTGTCATGAAAATCCAGAAGTAAAAAAAGACAATCTCTGAGGGATTCAGTGGGACGTCCTAATCTTGAAAGCAATCAACATTCACTATTGAAAACAATCGCGGATATAGCTTCATTTGGGAGTGCAGCAGATGATAGAAGACGAACGGAATCAATTCGCAGCGTAAAAACTCTTGATGAACTCACACAAGAATTACGTAAAATAGGATTTGACATTAGTCGCAGTGGGACATATCTTCGTTTGATTCCCAGAAAATCTAATTCTGCAGAGGGACGAAGACATGTATCGACAGTCCCTGTTAAGCTCATTCGGGCTCAAACTGATCACCACAAGAGCCACTTAGATAGCAAGTTCGCTGAAACATCAATCCATTATTTAGAGAACATAGCAACCATACTTGGACCAGATCAAGTATTTTTCATATCTCAAGATGATAAAGATCGAGTCCCTATTGGCGTAACTGCGGCTAATAAGCAAGCACCTCGTCTAATGCACATGGAATATAGAATCAAATTGCCTGATCACGATTGGGTAATCGCTGAGCGTCATAAATTCATACCATCTGTTTATGCTGGTATCAAAATCACTGTGAATACGATCAAGTTTCTTGGAGTACACCTTGATGCTGGATTAAACAGGATTTCCACGTAGACGTATCTGCGGCTTTTTCCGACATTCCGACAGAAATGGTTAATTTTCTCAAAAAAAAATACATTGGTATGATTTTTTGTTATGGAAAACTAGGTAAATGATGTCTAAACAAGCTCGCGAAATCTGCAACTCGATATCTTGTTCCAAAGAAAATGTTATACGGAAATCCCTTAAATTTTTATTTTGTATAACTAATTTTTCTGTAATTTCTTTTTATTCTTAAGCTGTGGCTCTAAAAAGAACCGATTTAAAACAGAAAGGTTTTTAATGCCCCGTGAATGTATCTCATGGGTAGACTTCAATTTCGGCTCTCAGTATGTTACGTATTGCATTACGAATCTGGTTTTTCATATCTTCTCTGGTCGTAGGTAGAGACTGAAAGTCGATGTCCTGTAACCGTCTCCATAAATAAAAATCAAGACAACTTAAGTCTGGTGATCGCGAAGGCGATGGAAACAGACTTCCTTTTCCAATCCGCCGCTGTACATGTCAATACACATATAATATCCTTACTTATGTCATTTTGGCGGTTACAATAGTCCCCCCTCCAGTAGGCGTGGGAAGTAAAAAGAAATGCAAACGTTAAAGGTATTTTTATTGCGTTCATAAATGTGTTATTTTTTCGATAAGCAAAGTTATTTTTCCTTCGTGTTTTCCCTGTAGCTTCCGTATCACCGTTAAGCTACAATGTTTTCATGTTCTTCCTCTTTACTGTTAGAAGTCTTTTATGTCGTAAAACTTTCCTGAATCAACTTCTACCTCCGTACTTCAACTTTCAACGCTACCCTGTCAGTAAGCCGAGAGCTCTCTATAACTTCAACCAACTTTTCGTAGTTTTTAACTGTAATTTTTCAACAAAAATGCATTGCTGGTTTACAACTACTACAACTATAGAGATAGCTGTGTATGCTGGTTTTACATTGGACTTTAACTGATTGGAGTATGTTGGCCGCCACGTGTCCAGTGGCGGCCCATGGATGTACTACAAGGGGCTTCACAATTGGATGATTATAATTTTCTTCATTCAATTTTACTCGTATATTCGCTCCTCATCAAAAAAAAAATCTGCAACTATGCATTCAATTCCTGTAAATATTCCCAAAAACTAGTTTATGTTTCGAGGATTTTCATTACTTTTAGCAGAACCGAAATACAAATCCATTGTTACTGATAGGAAAGTATCGAAACTGCCATGCAAGTTCCACCTATGTTACTTCATCTACATCAGTTGTTTCCAAACTATTTTTTCTCACAGACCACTCGGTGGATATTTATGTACTCTTAAAGGCCAGCCGGCACTGAATATAATAATAATAATAATAATAATAATATTTATTCACTCAATGTACAAAGATAACAAACAATATGAGTAAATAAATATAAAATCAAAACAGGCCCAAAAGAAGGCATCGCCTGTACATGGACCAATAAATTTAAGTTGAAACTGTAGAATGCAAATGACAAAAAAGGACAAAATTAGCTACAGTAGATTATGTATTTAGTTGATGTTCGTATTTATGAGTTTATGAATTTCAGTCCTAGATATAGAATGTAGCCACTTTTTTAAATTTCTTTGAAACGTAAATCTTTTAAGTCTTTAGGTATAATTTCATAAAATTTATACGCTACATAGAGATACGATCGCTGCATTATAGATTTATGCGGTTGAGGAACTACTGTGCCACGAATTTTGTACCTGGTATAATGATTATGTTTAATTTTTTGGTTGGTGTTTACAAATTTATGGTAGTGAGTGATACTGTGTAAGAAATAAAGCTGTCTTATATCATACATTCGAACATCTCCGTAGAATTTTTCAGTGGGATAAAGTTTCGGTGTTTTAAATACCATTTTTAGAATACTTTTTTGAAAAACATCTAAATTATAGATATGTGAGGAACATGCAGCTCCCCATGCTAATATACCATATGTGAGATGAGGCTCAATCAGTGCATGGTATAATGTTCGAAGATATTTTTCTGTCAATATATTCCCAAGGTATTTAATTTTGTAGGATACAAATCTAACTTTCTTTAAAATATAATTGACATGGATGTCCCATCGTAAGTGAGGATCCAAGACCACTCCAAGGTATTTTATGTTGGGCACTCTATTAATTTGCATTTTTTGATCATTAATATTGAAGGAGAAATTTGTGTAATTTGGCAGATGTCTAGCATAAGATCCAAATGGTAAAAAATGTGTTTTAGAGTAGTTAATGCTTAATTTTCTACTGTTAAACCACCGAATAATTTTGATAAAATCATTTTCAATTACATTTTTCAGATCAGACCAGTCAGTGCCTTCATATATACGTAATATTGCAGTATCATCTGCAAAACTAGTTATTTTGCCAACACAATTAATTTGGAAAATATCATTTAAATATATATTGAACAACAGCGGACCTAAGACAGTTCCTTGTGGGACACCACACTTAATATACATTTCTTTACTAAATGATCCTGATATCTGCACAGATTGTGGGCAATTTGACAAATAACTTTCGATCAGTGAGTACGCGTTTCCTCTGAAACCAATTCTCTCCAATGCTTCTAATAATAATTTGTGATTAACTGTGTCGAAAGCTTTCTTTAAATCAACAAAAATGCAGATTAAAGGATTCTGTTATCAATATTTTGATGTATTTGATTTACAATTTTAGTTATTGCGTCCGATGTAGCCTTCCCTTCTGTAAATCCATATTGATTTTTGAGGTATCGAATCATTCTAGTAGATAAAACTTTTTCAAAAACCTTTGCTACACTGGATATTATTGATATTGGTCTATAGTTGTTAACATCTGTTTTTGTTCCTGATTTATGTATCGGTATTATATTACTTTTTTTAAAATTGAGGGATATATGCCAGATTCAAAGCATTTGTTGATTAGGTAAGTGAGTGGTTCTGTTATGTCCTCGGCTATAATTATTTTCAAATGCTCGCTTTTAATACCATCGAACCCAGGACTTTTCCGATTTTTTAAGGACATAACAGTGGTGTATACTTCACATTGCTCGACTTTATCCAAAATAAATGAGTTCAAAGTTCTTTTTGGACGCTGAGTATTTTGTACATTTCCTTGTATATTACTTGCTAAATTTTCGCCTATGTCAGTAAAGAATTGTACAAATTCATCGCATATCTGTTGAGTATTTTTTAATACTGTTCCCGATGTTGTATTTAACTCAGTGACACACTCTTTAACTTTTGTTTTCCCAGTAATCTCATCAATAGTTGTCCAAAGCCGCTTAGGATCATTTAAGTTATTATTCAATTTATTTAGGTAATGTTTTCGTTTGGTTTGCCTTACAAGCTCTATAAATTTATTTTTATATTGGTTGTAGCAGTCGGTATTCTCTGTAGTTGGCGTTAGTTTCATTACATTATATAGTCTTTCTTTGTCTATTGCCGATGTTATTAATCCTTTGGTAATCCAGGCATTTCTGCTTTTCTCTTTGTGACTAATTATTACTTTATTGGTACTAATATCTATTAGTTTTTTTATTTTCTCTATGAACAGTCCCGTTGCTTTGTCTATATTATTTATAGAGTATAATTGTTCCCAGGACTCTTGTTTGACATTTGATATTAGTTTTGAATTGTCGACAAAAAATTTGTAATTTTCCTGGTTGTTACTAACGGTAGGGATGTTAGAATGTTTTTCATTTGAAGATATCAGTAAAATAGTGGAGAAGTGGTCAGTAATATCGCTTTCTAGGATTATTGGTATACAAGTAATTTTGTTGGATAGGTCTTTCACAAAGCAGTGATCTATACATGTGCCACTGATGGACCTTGTAGGTAGGTTTATATAGGACAGAAATCCGTTACTTGATAGGATATTCAAGTATTCATTTGTGATGGGATCATCGTCCAAAATATTTATATTGACATCTCCCAAAAAATATGTTGCTTTAAATGAACTTTATTTTGATTTTGAAAAAAAAATTCGATATTCTTTAAAAACTCGTGGGGTTCTGAACATGGCGGACGATAAATTGCAGATACCTCAATTTTGTTATGGTTAATTTGGATCATTATGTTATATATATGATAAAATAGACGTTACCGATCCACGTTTCTAGATGTTTTAAGAAAATTGTGTATACTTTCAATTTAGTAATTGCTATTTTCTTTTTTTCCAGGTTATTTTGGAAAATACCTGAACAAGTACAACGGTTCCTACATCCCTCCAGGTTGGCGAGAATGGGGCGGTCTCATAATGAACTCCAAGTACTACAACTATTCCATCAATATGAACGGAAAGAAGATAAACATGGTTTCGACTATCACAAGGTAAGCTAAGTTATAAAAGATCAGTTTCCCAAAGTTTGTCATTTATTTCAGATAAGCTCTCGTCCTGAAATGGAACTTTATCTCCACCGATACCTAGTTGAAATTAAGAGAAAGTATACCTTCTGTTACAGACCAACAAATACAAGAATAATTCAAGTTATTACAAATACCAAAAATCAATAGGCGAGTACTTGAAATACCATGTATTCAGCGTTACGACACTACACTTAATTCCTAATACCAGGGCTTCTCACCCTTACGTTTTTGTACACACTTGATACAATATAAACAAAGCAGATGCCTTCCAAACATTGAAATAAAATGACCATTACCGTTAACATGCATTATAGGCGGCGGTTCTGAATTCCACAACATGTTTATAAACGTATTATCACATTCAAAAGGTGGCATTTAAATTGGAAGAGGCCTTCACGCGGAAGGACAATTCCGCAATATGATTCCCTCAACGAAGAGCCACGCTTTGATTATTTATTTACAAGCATACCAAATAAATAAAAAGACCTGCCGCTCCCCGTTTTGCATTGTGCATTTTATTATTTCATCGCATCAAGAGAGTTGAATCGAGGAAACAAATGAGTCCCAGAGCGGAAAATTGCGTTCCTGAAGACGCCGCAGTTACGCTCGCCATCTCTCCGGAGGAATATCAACAAAAGAACAACGCATATTTTATTCACAGGAGGCCATGACCAAATACCGGCAGCTGTTTGCTCAGAATATGCAATATGTGCTTTGTCAGCTTTATATTTTCGAATCAGTTTAATTAAGATATTCGTCATCTGTTTTTTATAGGATATACCTGAAGAACAATTCATAGAAACGATTTTCCTAGAAATGTTATTGTCGCGATTTTTTATACTGATCCTCTTGCGAGTGCAAAATACATAACTACTATAGGACAAGAATCATGCTGACATTAGATGTCGTTAGTAGAAGTAGGTTTAACTACGGATACTTTTTTCTTTGGACTGCCTTGAACATCCTCGTATCTCTAGGTAAATCCTGAAAATATTAACATTCCTTGGAACCCTGGGCTATAATCGGTTGAAGAAGTTTCTTAAATCTTCTTTGATTGCCTTAAAATACCTGGAATCCCTCCAATCTCATTGATCTCGGATGTCCTTAAACTGCCTTGAAATTTTTTAGATCTTCTTGGATTGCCTTAAAAATCTCTCAAATCTCGTTCACCTCAGATGTCTTCAGAATGGCTTGAAATTCTTTAGATCTTGGAATGCTTTAAAATTCTTCGAATCGCATGGATCTCAAACGTCCTTGGATTCCCTTGAAATTCTTTAGATCTTGGATTGCCTTAAATTCCCTCGGATGTCGTTGATCTCAGATTTCCTCGGATTGCCTTGAAATTCCTTAGATCTTGAATTGCCTTTAAATCCCTCGAATGTCATTGATCTCAAATGTCTTTGGATTGCCTTAAAATCCCTCGGATGTCATTGATCTCAGATTTCCTCGGATTGCCTTTAAATCCCTCGAATGTCATTGATCTCAAATGTCTTTGGATTGCTTTGGAATTTCTGAAGTCCTCTTGGATTGCCTTGAAATTTCTTAGACCTTCTTGGATTGCCTTAAAATTTCTCAGGTCATATCGGTCTGTCTTAAAATCCCTCGAATCTCATTGATCTCAGATTTCTTCGGATTGCATTGGAATTCCTGAGATCTTGGATTGCCTTTAAATCCCTCTAATCTCATTGATCTCAGATGTCCTTGGATTACCTTTAAATTTCTTAAGTCAACTTGGATTGCCTTAAAATCCCTCGGATGTCATTGATCTCAGATTTCCTCGGATTGCCTTTAAATCCCTCGAATGTCATTGATTTCAAATGTCTTTGGATTGCTTTGGAATTTCTGAAGTCCTCTTGGATTGCCTTGAAATTTCTTAGACCTTCTTGGATTGCCTTAAAATTTCTCAGGTCATATCGGACTGTCTTAAAATCCCTCGAATCTCATTGATCTCAGATTTCTTCGGATTGCATTGAAATTCCTGAGATCTTGGATTGCCTTTAAATCCCTCTAATCTCATTGATCTCAGATATCCTTGGATTACCTTTAAATTTCTTAAGTCATCTTGGATTGCCTTAAACTCCCTCGGATGTCATTGATCTCAGATTTCCTCGGATTGCCTTTAAATCCCTCGAATGTCATTGATCTCAAATGTCTTTGGATTGCTTTGGAATTCCTGAGGTCCTCTTGGATTGCTTTGAAATTCCTTGGACCTTCTTGGATTGCCTTAAAATTCCTCTAATCTCATTGATCTCAGATGTCCTTGGATTGCCTTGGAATTCATTAGGTCATCTTCGATTGCCTTAAAATCCGTTGAATTTCATTGATCTCATTGATGTCCTTGGATAACCTTTAAACTTCTTGGGTCATCTTGGATTGTCTTAAAATCCCTCGAATCTCATTGATCTCAGATTTCTTCGGATTGCATTGAAATTCCTGAGATCTTGGATTGCCTTAAAATCCCTCGGATGTCATTGATCTCAGATTTCCTCGGATTGCCTTTAAATCACTCGAATGTCATTGATCTCAAATGTCTTTGGATTGCTTTGGAATTCCTGAGGTCCTCTTGGATTGCTTTGAAATTCCTTGGACCTTCTTGGATTGCCTTAAAATTCCTCTAATCTCATTGATCTCAGATTTCCTTGGATTGCCTTGGAATTCATTAGGTCATCTTCGATTGCCTTAAAATCCCTTGAATTTCATTGATCTCATTGATGTCCTTGGATAACCTTTAAACTTCTTGGGTCATCTTGGATTGTCTTAAAATCCCTCGAATCTCATTGATCTAAGATTTCGTCGGAATGCATTGAAATTCCTTAGATCTTGGATTGCCTTTAAATCGCTCGAATGTCATTGATCTCAATGTCTTTGGATTCCTTTGGAATTCCTGAGGTCCTCTTGGATTGCCATCTAATTTCTTAGACCTTCTTGGATTGCCTTAAAATCTCTCCAATCTCATTGATCTCAGATGTCCTTGGATTGCTTTGGAATTCATTAGGTCATCTTCGATTGCCTTAAAATCCCTTGAATTTCATTGATCTCATTGATGTCCTGGGATTACCTTTAAACTTCCTTAAATCTTCTTGGATTGCCTGAAAGTCCCTCAAATAGCATTGATCTCAGATGTATTTGGATTGCCTTGGAATTCCTTAGGCCCTCTTGCATTGCCTTGAAATTTCTTAGACGTTCTTGGATTGTCTTAAAATCCCTAAAATCTCATTGATCCTAGATGTCCTTGGATTGACTTGGAACTATTAAAATCCCTCGAATATCGTTGATCTCAGATGTCCTTGAATTTCTTTGAAATTTCTTAGATCTTCTTGGATTGCCTTAAAGTCCCTCGAATGTCATTGATATCAAATGTCCTTAGATTGCCTTGAAATTGCTTAGATTACCTTGGATTGTCTTAAAGTCCCTCAAATATCATTGTTCGCAGATGTCCTTGAACTGTCTTGAAATGCATTAACTCTTCGTGGATTGCCTTAAAGTCCCTCAAACGTCATGGATCTCAGATGTATTTGGAGTGCCTTGAAATTCGTTAGATCTTCTTGGATTGCCTTGAAGTCCCTCGAATGTCACTGATATCAAATGTCCTTAGATTGCCTTGAAATTTCTTAGATTGCCTTGGATTGTCATAAAGTCCCTCGAATGTCATTGATCGCAGATGTCCTTGAACTGTCTTGGAAATGCCTTAACTCTTCTTGGATTGCCTTAAAGTCCCTCAAACGTCATTGATCTCAGATGTATTTGGAGTGCCTTGAAATTCCTTAGGTCTTCTTGGATTGCCTTAAAGTCCCTCGAATGTCATTGATTTCAGATGTCCTTGGATTGCCTTGAAATAGCTCAGATCTTCTTGGATTGCCTTGAAATCGCTAAATTTCCTTGATCTCGAATGTCTTTGTATTGCCTTGAAATTCCTTAGGTCTTCTTGGATTGCCTTAAAGTCCCTCGAATGTAATTGATATCAACGTCCTTATATTGCCTTGAAATTCCTTAGATCTTCTTGGATTGCCTTAAAACCCCTCGAAAATCATTGATCTCAGATGTCCTTGGATTGCCTTGAAATACTTCAGATTTTCTTGGATTGCCTTGAAATCAGTAAATTTCCTTGTTCTCGAATGTCTTTGTATTGCCTTGAAATTCCTTAGGTCTTCTTGGATTGCCTTGAAGTTCATCGAATGTCATTGATATCAAATGTCCTTGGATTGTTCTGAAATTCCTTAGATCTCCTTGGATTGTCTTTAACGTCCCTCGAATGTCACTGATCGCAGATGTCCTTGGACTGTCTTGAAATGCCTTAACTCTTCTTGGATTGCCTTAAAGTCCCTCAAACGTCATTAATCTCAGATGTATTTGGAGTGCCTTGAAATTCCTTAGATCTTCTTGGATTGCCTTAAAGCCCCTCGAATGTAATTGATATCAAACGTCCTTAGATTGCCTTGAAATTCCTTAGATATTCTTGGATTGCCTTAAAACCCCTCGAAAATCATTGATCTCAGATGTCCTTGGATTGCCTTGAAATACTTCAGATCTTCTTGGATTGCCTTGAAATCAGTAAATTTCCTTGATCTCGAATGTCTTTGTATTGCGTTGAAATTCCTTAGGTCTTCTTGGATTGCCTTGAAGTCCCTCGAATGTCATTGATACCAAATGTCCTTGGATTGTTCTGAAATTCCTTAGATCTCCTTGGATTGTCTTTAACGTCCCTCGAATGTCACTGATCGCAGATGTCCTTGGACTGTCTTGAAATGTCTTAACTCTTCTTGGATTGCCTTAAAGTCCCTCAAACGTCATTGATCTCAGATGTATTTGGAGTGCCTTGAAATTCCTTAGATCTTCTTGGATTGCCTTAAAGCCCCTCGAATGTAATTGATATCAAACGTCCTTAGATTGCCTTGAAATTCCTTAGATCTTCTTGGATTGCCTTAAAACCCTCGAAAATCATTGATCTCAGATGTCCTTGGATT